TAGCACACATGCCACAACATTACTTTTTAATATTATTTAAAAAAACAACTGTATATCATCATGGTCGCAGTAAGATGCCGTTTGGTAAATTTATGCAGCCAATTTACACTTCGTATGCTTTTAGTAACAATATTACAAAATTTACTGTGAATTAAATAATAGACCCGTCTTATAGGTTTAAAGACTGTTAACTAATAATAAAAAATCACGATGATTTCTGAATGTAAGAATGACATCATGGGGTAAGTTAAACTATAAGAACATAACCGAACGAGCGTATCAATGACTTTGAATCGATCGATTTTGGTAAAAAAAAAAGCAGATTTCTCTGGAAAAGAGAAGTCGAGTTGACGAATATGGTGTTATTTACTTGGTTTTATCTAAACACTCGTCTCAAGATCATTAATAAGCTTATTTGGTCGGAGACCTAAAGTATAAGCCCACCACACCATGTTACGCATTACTAATCGGCCATAATTAATAATACTACTACCACATAATTTAAAGCTACCATATTTATTCAGTGACGTCGACATGTTCAATTCGATCGCTAAATATAACTGAAACTGTAGAGGATATGATAAAGTTTGGTTATCTAAAACAGTGAAAAGTGAGACATAGTTCCCCAGACATTAGCAATGACAAAGCTGCTTGTTAGGTTTGTCGATTATTTGGTTAACTATACAACGCAGGCATGTCCGTAATCCATTAAAATAGGGGGAAAAGTCTTGACGTTATCGATACATTTGACAGTGTACTGAGAAGCTATAACAACACAAAAGGAGTTGAAATGACACCAAATATTTTCTACACGCAGAATTTCGGACCTAGCGATACTGCCTTTAGTTGAATAGTAGACAGTGTGATGTTTGAGAGATTGAATATGTAAATTTTTGTATTGCGTAGGTATTCATTCTCTCAAACATCACACTGTCTACTATTCAAATAGAGGCAGTATCTCTAGGTCCAAAATTCTGCGTCAAACCACCAAGTATTGATAAGCTACAATGCCAGGTTCAGTTAAAAATCTGATAAACCAAGCTAACGACCTCACACCTGCATCAGATGAAAGCCTACAACAATTCAAAGCATCAATCCTCGACTGTTATCACAAGTTTGCAAATACCAAACCCAACGGAAGCTCTGTTTTAAGAAGCTAAGAAAAACTTATGAAAAACGAAGAGATTATGGTATCACGTCTTGACAAAGGCGGAGAAATAGTAATCATGAATCGCAAAGACTATATCAGTAAAGTGCTGACTATGCTATCCGATGAATGGAAATTCACAAAACCAGTCAACAAGAAAAATATGACTGAACATACAGAACAAAAGCTAACGGACACCTTCCGTAAGTTAAAGACTGAATCTTTCATCAGCAACGAAACTTTCGAATCCCTAAGACCATCTGGCTCAAATATACCACGGCTTTACGGACTCCCGAAAGTACACAAGAATGGTGCTCCTATTCGATCGATCCTCGACATGACCAATTCGCCTTACCACCGTACAGCCCAATGGTTAGCAGACCTACTAGAACCAATCGGAAGGAAACTTTCCTGCCACACAGTTCGAGATTCATTCAACTTTATCGACTCAATCGGAAACGTCAACGTATGCAACAAGACCATGATTTCATTAGATGTCACATCATTGTTCACAAATGTCCCACTGACTGAAACAATATGCTACATAAGCGAACTTATTCACTCAAAGAGAATAAACATACGTATACCCACAGAGCGTCTTAAGGAACTCCTATTGAGGTGTACCCTGAATGTCCAGTTTTCTTTTAACAACAAAATATATCGTCAAAAGGATGGAATAGCTATAGGATTACCACTATGCCCATCGCCTACAGATTTCTTCATGATCGATACCTTCGAATTCTACAAGAGATACATCGACAACACTTTCATTACCGACAACAATGAAGAAAATCTAGACGACACCTTAAATTCCTTTAACAACTGCCACTCCGCGATTTAGTTCACGTTAGAGAAAGAGTCTAAATCTAAAATATCCTTTCTTGACGTTCAACTAACAAGACAAGAACGAGACCGAACACTGAAAAGATCTATCTACAGAAAGTCGACGTGGAACGGACAGCTTACTAACTTCCACAGTTTGGTGCCTCTATACACCAAACGAAACCTGATCCGTTCACTCAGATACAGAGTTCAGAGTTCGCACTCCGGATACCATAAAAGACTAACTGGTCAACCTCAAGAGAATCCTCGTCGAGAATTGTTACCAAGAACGATTTATTGTAAAATCCATGAACCCTAGACTGCAAAAGCCTCCCACGCTTAGCGTCCTGAAATAACTCCTCTACATGAACCTTCAATTCAATGGAGATTCATCTGCGGGAACACTGAAAAATCGACTGTCCCATTCACTTAAGAAAACCTTCTTCGCAGCTGAACTACGACTAACCTTCTTCACAAAACCTATGATTCGTATGAACGTGAAGAATAAGCCTCATCAATATGTATCTACCGATTCACCCGCTCGTGTGGAGCCAAGCATGTCGGCTGTACCCATTGTTCGCTTTCCAAACGTATCACCGAACACTTACCAGCATAGTTTTACGAAGGAGAAAATCGATGCCCCGCAGCTCTATCTTAGAACATCTGATAGATTCCGTTCACCAAGTTACACTAAAAACAAACTTCGAAGTCGTCTACAGAATACGAAGCAGTCTTTCTAAAAGCGTACGAGACTTTTACTAACTGCAGAAGCAATGGCAATTCATTTGCTAAGTTCTGAACTATGCATACAGAAGTTCGTTCAATCACTACACTTGTAATGGGTGCAATCTATCCTAATACCCAACAGGTAAATTCTAGTTCTTTCTGTCTCTTCATTAGTATTATTCTGTCTTTTCAATTGTAATATTTTACATTTTCAACTTTCCTGTTCTCTATCCCTATCCGATTTAATTTTTACACCTCATTACCACTGTTACTGACTTGACCAACGCTCAGTTTCTAGTCACTTATGTTACACCATCCCATTTATTTGCTGAATTTTAGTCCTAATTTAAATGGCATTGTTCTCTGCCCCACCTTTGCTCAGTCTTTAACTGTAATTACCTCTGTTGCTATCCTGACCTAAGTTGAAACATTTCAGTCAATAATATGACGCCATCTAACTTACTTACTCAATCTTACTATAGTTGCTGTCTGATTTATCTTGTTTCCATATTGGATCATTCTCGTATTACCTAATTAATTATCTAAACTTGACGAACCTCATGTACACACACACATAAAGGATAATTATATATAAATGCGATTGTACAGCTATGTGAATGAATTTGCCGAAAAGAGTCTCGTCGCTGAAAGTCTTCTCTTTTTCATATGAATTCTATCAGTCAGGTTTGCAATATGGTCCCCATTCTATGTGGCTTGCCATCGCGGTGCACACTGATTTGATATTATATAGTTGGAGGCATCCTGGAGACTGTCTTCATCATCAACAATTAATTAGGAGGTGGATTGAATGGAATCCCACTGTCATGCAGATTTTCACTTCACTTCATAATGTAAGAAATCAGTGAGCTATACAGTAGACAGTTTAACTTAGGTATTAATTTTGAAATAAACATTAAACTTCTGAATTTATTCAGCATAAAAATAAATGAATACATAAAGCCCTCAAATTCAATTTGTTAGCCAAATGGTTACCCACTTATCTCACGTGATACTAGTAAGTACTTCATTTTAAATATACTTCTATATAAGTGAATACAATACTGACTTATTTAACTTGAATTACTCGAGTAGAAGAGAGAAATTCACGGGACAATAAAGAAACCACGTCAGCCGTATTTTCCCCTTTCTTTATAATGTAATCAGTGAAATTTTATTCACTTTGCAGAAATACAGAAAATGATAACTTTCAAGAGATATTATTATTACAAACATTTACTAATTCGAATCCGTTATCATTAGGTGTTGATTGCGAAAATTGCTTCAGCTGGTGTCATCTCGCACCATCCTAAGCATCGAGATGATATTTGAACATTCAAAGGTAAACATATTGGAATCACATTATTTCTTCACTGACTGACAACTTGTTTTTGTACATATACCAGTTCATTTGAGTGCATGATGAGTCTCTCCATAATTAATTTTATGAGAATAACAGCTTCTCATTTTACTTTGGCCTTTGAATTAGCTTTGAGAAAATAATTTTTGTAACTTCACTACACTGAGGGTGAAATTACGAAGAGAGATCACTTTGTTGACAAATGTATTCTTAATACTCAATATTCTAGATAGGAAAACACATGGCGAAGTCACTGCTAAGAAAAGGCGATGCGAGGAATACACACAGGAAACAATTCACCACGAGTACTGATTATTTTTCCGAATCTCCCCATACAAAGAACTGTATGAAATTAACTAAGTAAAATCCTATCATCACTAAATTACGAACTCGGTTTATCTGATGATGAACTATAATTGTCATTAACCAGCGCCGTCCCTACAAGCTTACCCCCGCACTACACACATCTACGTACATCAGTCCTACTAAAAGTACGCGTCTTAATGGCAATTTTCAAATTTAGCGGTCAATCATGAGTGCAAACAGCTTACGAGTAACGCCTCTCATTGCACCTTTGGGTGACAAAGGTTAGAATTTCCGAGGTGATATCACTTCTAGTAAGTTTTAGATAAGCCTTGACATGTGCCCATTAGCGCAGAAACTAAGTGTCCATGACATCCTGCTGACTGCTTCCTACCACCACCTATCACCAATTAATAATCTCAAATAACATCAAAGCAAGACACCCGAGAAAATAAAGCCAGTTATTTGAGAAGAGGAAATAATAGAAATTTCTTTCTTAACAAAAAGAAAGTTGCACAGACTAAACAAATATAAACGCAAAAATATATATACACCTTACAACTAATTAATTTTTTTAAACAAAATTTATAGATATTTGTAGAAGTAACAATAATTGACTGATAAATTAATATACAAATAGTAAAACTAAACCCTATCAAAAAACCGGCGTCCAGAATTATTCTGTGGACCAGAAGAGCCAGCTGAATGTGGATGACCAGAAGAGGAATTAATATTATTGTTATTATTACTATTATTAGCTGACATAAATTTACTTAATTGTTGTTGCTGTTGTTGTTGTTGTTGGAAGGCAGCAGCGAGGGTTGCTGATGTCAAATAATTTAATGAGTTTAAATCAGCTGCAAATGGAGCTAAACTTGCAGCTAAAGCAACAGATGATGTATTATTTACTATGGATGATGTTGCCACTGGTGTATTCGATGTTAAAGAAGTAATGCCAGTGGATGATGAATTACAATGAACAGGTGTAGTTGTAATATTATTAGGATTTCTTAATGCATTATTCTCTAAATGACGACCACCTTGAAGAGACTTACTAGCATTTGTTATATTAGCCACAGTATTATTAGCAATGCTATTATGATTCGCTGAAGAAGTCAGATTTAGCATAATAAGGTTATTAGAATTAATCTGTTGTTGTTGCTGGTTAGTGAATCTGGTTCCTTGTGTTGGTATATTCATAGAATAATTTGACGGCAGTAACTGGAAACAAAGAACAAAAATAGTGAGTGTGTTCAACAATAATACCCAGTAAAAGAACGATATATGCAAGACGAAATCTTATGAAAAGAAAAAAACCAATAAATACACTGTACAATCAATTCAAAACTTTATCTGAACTCAACTGCTCAGAACAAATCATTTATGAATCAGGTTAGAAAGGTGAAAATACTGCCCACGTACATAGGCTGAAGTAGGAGGAACGGGATTTAAACTCAAGACATTTTAGCTGACATCCTCTAGTGCTTAAGGCAATGAACCACATCTCCCCTAAAATGCTTTAGGTATAGAATACAACAGTCGCTGATGGTTCGATAGTGGTTTGAATTTTGAAAATTTCCGCATTAGTGCGAGGCGACATGGTGAATCAAGGCGGTGAGGATGATTAAAGATAATGAAACAATGTCTGAAGTAAATTAGATTTGAAAACACAGACAAACAAACTGAACTATAATGCTCACACATTTGGTGCTGAAAGGTCCTCAATTTAATTTCAGGAAGTATTTCACTGTTGAACGGTATTCAGCGAGCTTATCAGATTCAAATGGAGCAGTTGTTCACTATTCAGTGATTTGCATAACTTTTTTCAAATGATATTACGTGACGATATTAAAACATTTTACCAATAGGGGTTATGTGTAATCAGTTTAACAAAAAGAGTTTATGACTGTTGTTCATATTACTTCGATAAGTATCAAGAAAGTGTTTCCAAAAACTTGAAGGATACGCTTTTATGAATTAATTAACTTACTGTGGGAAACTGAACACACTGGGAACTTATCGGGTGTAGTCTTGTTTGCATACTGTTTTTTCACAACTAATTTATTTTCAGTGATTTCATTTAATACACTTATACAATAGCAATTACACACAAGACCTTCATAAATTCGTCCAATTTAAAACACATAGGTAACTAGTTTTTTTCCATTCCTTTGCATTTCGAGTGGAACATAAGGCGTCAAGCACTGAGATTTGGAGTTTCAACAGCGGTGTTATTATTTTATGGAGTGAAGATGCCAGCCTCATGCTCAACCTTCCCCTTTTCCATGCTTAGTACCAGCTAGAAGAGGACTAGGAGTGCGTCTGGTGGGAATCAAACCCGGACCACATGAGTGGATAGGGAGCGTTCCACCACTGAACCACCGATGCAATTAGCTAAATACTAGTGGAGTGGAATAAATACAAAGTTTTCAAGATTAGTGAGTGTTAATTACAATATGATGCACATATAGTAAAGATGAATAATTATACATAAAAAATCGCGTAACAAAACATAATGCTTTAGAAATGAATTATCAAAAAGAGCACAGAAACAGGCGATATTATTTAGGAAGAGGAATGAATATTTCGCACTTTTGTTATGTTAATAAATTAACACAAAGGGATTAAGACCATGAAAGGAGTGATGAGAGAAGCTTCTTCTGTTAGATTATTGATTTTCTTATAACTCCACTTCTACTGCTTTGAAACCACATAGAGTGTTCTCTCAACCTTTTCGAAAAAAAGGATAGATAGATATCTAGCTAAATAGGACATACTTATTAAAAAATTGAACAAAAATGCCACTATGCAACTGCAGTAATTTTAATCATCGAAAAGAGGCTGTCTGCTGAATCATGGTACTTTCTTTTTCTATATGTCCCATTGACAATTTTCCATGAACTTATTTATTATCATAAAATAGGATTATATTATTCAAAAAAGACATCATCCCACTATTTTATGATTATTACTTTAATTCCCTTAGATAATTTTACATGGTGACGCTGTAATTAATGTATGTAGCCTAGACTTAGCTGATCATGGGAACTGTAACGATTGTTATACTAACTATAATTATGCGGATCACGTGATGCATACTTGTCTCTTTTGTGTAAATGATGAGTGGGAGGCGTACAGTTATTCATCAAAAGTAAGATCAGCCATACGATACGTAGCCAAAACTAGACGATATTGTGTAGAAAGAGGTACATGACAAGTTATAATCACATGAATTTTTGAAATTAAGTTTGCTTTCTGAATCTTTTGACTTCCCGTAATTTTGTTTTACTAGACCAAAGTGAACAGTCTGGGTTATCATAAGACAAACATCTGGAAAATTCGTTTGCCTTCAATTAGATGTTATTGGTTAGTAGTTGAATCTATGATGCATAACTTGTCCGATTAAAGATACATCAGATGGACGTACCTACATCGCAGGAGGTGATGTCTTCACTGAAACTCAAGCCCATTACTTATCATTTCAAACGCTGAGGTTGAGTGGGCTCGGTAGCGTTTTCGTTTGTGAAATGACGTGCGTTGAATTTCAAGGGAAAACGCTGTCGCTCACTAGCTTTAGGTATATTTAGTTGGCAAGTCCCAAATTGGGGGCAACGTGTGTGAAAATACAGATGCTATTATTTCATAAATACAGTTATAAACGCATATACTGTTATGGTGTTTACCGGAAGAACCAATCTAAAAATATAAAAACACGAAAGCCATTTGGTTAAATGTGACTTACATGCAAATTATCAATATTTTGACCACCTGAATGACCACGTGCTGAACTGTAGTCAATCTGCGTCATGTACTTTGGTACATTATGCTGTTGTTTTTGGTGGGCTTGCTGTTGAAGTTGAATCTGTTGGGCAGATTGACCGGTGGTTATACTTCCTCTATAACTGATTGGTGCTGGGGGTAGCAATGGACTGCTCGATATTGTTGTTGACGTAGACATAGGGGTAGTTTGAGAAACGTCCAATTCAGACGTATTACCACTTAATAGTGGAGATAGTAGGGGGTTTGGAACATTCAGTGAACGCAGAATTTGATGAGCTTTCTGTAGTTGTTGATTACTGGATAAAATATTTTGCTGGTTTATAAGACTTCCAGTAGTGTTGTTACCACTAGGTCCTGCAGCTGCCGCCGCAGCTAATTGAGCCAAACACACCTTTGCGGTGTCTAGAGTAGTATTCGCCAAATCAAGGTCTAGAAACGAAGTGAAATAGTAAACCAAATGACACGACAAGTTTAATTTTTATGAGTTATTTTTGCATAACTCATAGAAAGTTATACTGTCAATGTGTGTAATGATGATGGTTTTTAGAGCATTGAAGACGACAAAAAACAAATATATCTAACCACTAACCCTTAGCATTCCAAAGATCTCATTTAGGAAACTTACATCTACCTACTTGCCTCACATCAACATGCGATGACCTCATAGTTTAATGTATGTTTTCTTCTAATCATCCTGAACTCTTTACCAAACTACTCTTAATTCAGCTAACGTCATTTGATGAAGAAATAAGATGGCATGGTATAAGTAAAGCATGCTAAGAGCAACTCAATCGATGAAGATTAACAACCTTACCAATTGATTTATTTTTCTTGTCGTAAGCTTTACACCTGATCTTAATATTACCTACTCTCTTCCTACCTAACATGGGCAGGTGAACAAAGATAGTTGTGTTTTAAAACTGTATTACTTAAATACGTCCAACTCTTAGTGTGTCAGTCGCTAGTTGAAGTCTAGATTACAGCTTTCATTTTACGTTTCAAAGACCTGTGACAATGTATCGACTTCTATAAGACCTCACAGTATACTTTACAAAGGAGACTGCATACAAATTCATTTTCTTACAAATCCTGCAGTGCATATTCTAATACTCAAGACTTGTGACCAGTGTCTCATCGAAGCATAGATAGCAAGAAGTTCACGACCAAAAGTGGTGTATCGCGTTTCGCAAGCAGAGAGATTTCGGGAAAAAAGTTAGAGGTCTCTATGCGTTATTCGTAAGCTGTTGTAGCACAGCTCCGATAGCCATGACCAGTGAATCAACCGAAATGTTGAGGGGAAGGTTAACATCCAGATGCACCAACATAATGGCCCCTGTAATAGCCATTTTGGTTTTCTTAAATGCTTTCAGTGCTTCGGGAGTAAACGCAATTTTTACCTTTACCTTTTAGCAGATTGGTAAGTGCTGTCAAAATATGTGCGCGTTAGGGGATAGATCGGCGGTAATAACTTATCATACCCATAAATGTGAGCAATGATTTCAAAGATGTTGCACCGGAAAGTTTTGAATTTCTTTGAAAAGAAGTTCTATCTCTAAGTTCCTTCGTAAGACTGTTAGACTCTTTATACATCTGTTTGATATCAAAACTAGATATGTCACTCATGGAAGGGAGGTGGTTCTTACGGGGAGTGTGAGAAGTAAAGCTGAACAAATGCTTGTGGAGGGTACGTAGCCTCAACAGCTCTGTCGGTTGTCTCCACCGATTCTGTCAAATTTGACCAGTAGAACGGTGCGAAAATTCCTCACACTTTAGGAAGCAACCTCTGTAACCACAAGTTTCAGGTAGCTGACGTCGAATTTGAAATCAGCAGCTAGCTGCTTCATCTTATGGAGCAATTGTGAAGGCTTGCGATCACCAATTTCAACGTCTCTGAAAAGTTCTTGCACCTTTTAAGGATCAGTAAGGGTTACTCTCTTGATTAGAGCCGCTTTTAGACGACCATATAGGTCCAGTGAGGGATCGTCAAGAATATCTGAAATATCCTCAATGACTTTTTCAGGAAAACTCACAATGACTAAGTCAGCCTTAGTTTCCTGTGACTGAATACTTCACAGAGAAAATTGGGCTTCAACATGTGCGAAACATGAAGATGCCCCAAGAACTGTTGTGCCTCTGTCCTTACGGCACAGTGTTTGAATGTCATCACAATTTTACCCTGACATGCGTGCTACACAGAAATTGATATCAATCAGTTTTGTCCCGCCCGGCATTAGCCGCGATGTACGCAATTGGACGTGTTCTTGCATACAGTGACAACGGTCCGAAATGCGTAAGTACAATGTTGCCCCGACTGGAACATTTGCTACACCCAATGCCCGTTTTAATCATGTGCATTTAGACATAGTTGGTCTATTATCTCTTTCTGATGGGCACTCATACTTACTCACAAGCACAAACAGGTTTACTCGTTGGCCAGAAGCTATCCCTATACAAGACACCACAGCTGAAACAATCTGCCGAGTCTTCATGGACATATTGGTTGCACACATCGGATGCCCTTCTATAGTGACAACTGAAGGTGGACAACAATTTGAATCTGTAACCTTTAAGAAACTCCTGAAAATAATGGGATGGGAACGCATTCGAACTACGGCATGCCAACCTTCAGCTAATGGACTGGTAGAGCGTTTTCATCGCCAACTTAAAGCTTCCATAATGACCGTCGGCAACATCAAATGGACAGATTCTCTTCCACTAGCCCTTCTCAGCATCCGCTCCACTCTTAAAGTGGATATACAGTGTACCTCTGCAGAAATAGTATACGGAAGCACACCCCGTTTACCTGGTGAACTCACTTCTTCAGAAGGCAGTAAACTGATCTTTTCTGATGCTCATAGTTATGCTCAGAATCTGACCCGTCTTATGCGTCAACTCCAGCCAACTCCAACCTGTACACAAAACAGGAAAGTTCAAGTAGATTGTCGACTTCAAACCTGCACACACTTCTGTGAGTTGACTCTGTTCGCAAACCTTTACAAGCTCCCTACGATGGCCCTTTCAAAGTCATCATTAGAAAAAAATCCTTTGTCATTGGCTGAGCGGGACGCCAGGATACCGTAAGTGTTGATCGACTCAAGGCAGTCTACTTGGAATAGGAATTACTAACTTTTACACCCTCATCACTAAGAGACTCTTGCAGGTCGGACCTTAAGACAGACACAAGTACTGAAAAAGCTCGTAAACCTTCTAGTAATGCATCCAACGACAACGGTAAAGTAGCTTCCACACGCATCTGTCGACGTGTACACTGTACACGTTACGCAGATTTTGTCAACTAAATTAGTTTAAATCCACATGTAACAGTTTTATTTTTTTAAGCTAACCTAATTATGGAAGACGATCATTAATTTACTTTTCATCATACAACCGTCCACTAAACAAAATAACTGTTGGAAACATTATTTTGTTGATAAACTAAACCTTGAAAAAGAAGAAATAGTTTCATTTTTATGGTTTCTTATACTAATCCTTTGCAGTTGCTGTGATTCTGTTAAATCTCTGGGTGTAAATTCCTTTCGCCCGGGCTAACATTCTTTCTTTTCGTCACTGCAGAGTAGTGACACAATCCTGAAAATTTGGTACAATCGGTCCCTCAAGAAGCCAAAATGATCGCTCTGCAGTTCCAGTCATATAAAATTTCCAAATTGTACATTCCCCGAATACCTCCCGCACCTGCCCGAAAACCTTCTAAGGGGAGGGGATAACGTGCAGTGCAAATTCTTATGTTCAAGACTTGTCTTAACGTGTAAACGTACGGACTAACACCAACGCCATTTTAATGCTCTCTGTTTATGTAATGGATAGTTACATTTTCCGAGTCGGCTGTACAGATAAGTTATTACACCGTTTCTCCAGGATTATCTTGACTTCTTATTGTATCCAAATATAACACTCGTGAGAGCACACTACTACTTAGCAGTCTTTTTTATTTCCATATTGTCATCAGTACTTACAAGATATGTAGAGTACCGATTTATCGAACACCAGGCTAACTTCATTTAGAAGAGTTGGCATAGTTTAGCTTATCTATAGCATTACCAGCACTCTGCCATCCTAAAACCGATTAGTGGTATCCACAAAAATGCACGAATTACCATAGATCACCTTGAAGTAACACGAGAAGAGTTTCCATCACCAAAAAACTGAAATACCTTGAATATATAACCTCACTTGCAGATGATCTCAATTATGCTTAGTTAAAATAGAATGATCAGATGGCAAGGTGCTAAGGTGAAATATTTATTGACCTCTTCTTTAAAAACAACTGGACAAGTTCTTAAAGTCTTACTGAATTTTAATTAATGTCTAGTTTATTTGAAATGGTTATTCAGGTTAATCGACAGTGAAGAATAAAAATTCAAAAGTGCTTTGTTTAGATGTTGGTATATTCATTCTTAAAATGATCTTTAATTCTACTCAAAATTATCATTGATTATATTTCACTATACTACTATTACTATTCAGTGCGAAATGGATATGCAGACATAAGTGAACAGTACTCCCTATGGAAAGCCTAACCTAATTTACTAGCTCGCTAGTTTTCTAGCCTGTCCCAAACCCGGGAAAAGAGGGAGGGTTGGGCGTGGGGTCAGCAATCTTAACCCGGAAAAAACCCAATCAAACCGCTACACGAACTTCAATGCACAAGTAAACTATTAAAAATACAAAAAATATAAAAAACAAGTCTATTTTTCACTGGAATCCCAGAGGCGAAATGACGCGATCTGGTGAAAGCCTTTGGAAGCCTGTTAGCCAATGTGTCTTCTTTCGATTTAAAACAAAAACAACACTGCAGTCAGGAAAGACAAACCATGTGAGGATCAAATAGCAATTCTACTCATCATCATCCAAAAGAGCATAGAATGGAAATCAAATCTCTGCCTCAACGTCATCGCTTTTGAAGAGGCCTTCGACAGCGTTGACCGAAAAGTAATTTGGAAACCACTTCAACACTATGGCGTGCAGTGCCCAAATCTTTATCAACCTCATTCAACAACCATACGACAATACCACATGTCAAGTAAGCCACAACGGAAAACTCAGCGACGCCTTTGAAGTGAAGACAGGAGTAAGACAAGCTAGCTACCTATTATCAGCGATGACATTCATAATTGTCGTGGACTGGATTATGCGTGAGACTGTGCATGGGAGTGGGAAGACACGAATACTCTGGACCGATAAGAAGACTCTAGAACACCTGAACTTCGCGGACGATTAGTCTCTAATGTCACATAAACTCGAAGACTTACAGGCGAAAACTAACAAACTGGTTGAAGGATCAACAAAGACAGGACTGTAGGTGAACATAGAGAGGATGGAGGTGATGAAGATAACCAACGGACCACAATAACGACAACAACCAGCACCAATTACCATCAACGGGAGAGATTTAACAGAGGTTACCTTCTTCACCTATCTAGTCAGTATCGTTTCAACTACAGGTGGAATGGATGAAGATGGTAATGTCAGAATCTGAAAGGCAAGGCGGACACTCATCACTCCAAAATCAGTTTGGAAATCGTCTGCACTTAGCCAAAACATCGGGATTCTGATTTCCGAAACCAATGTTGAGTCAGTCAGTTCTTTTATTTGGGTCAGAAACTTAGTTAGCATGCCACATAAAGCATTTAGAACAGTCCCGACCGATAACTGCTACATTGACGTGGTGGTTGAGCTTGCATTTCTCAATGACCCAACAACCTACACTGACGGGAACTAATGTTCCTGGAGGTCTTACCATGTCAGGAAGATTGTCGGGATAGCAATTAGACTAGAAGCAGTTACCGGCATAGTGTGAGACTATTTTACACTATGCTGGGTGTCTGTGGGCGAAGTCGTACCGCTGGAGAATAGGGATGTAACAGCAGTCAGGTGTTTCCCTCAGATGACCAGCATGCCAGCTATGCTGTCTCTCTACTCTGGAGAGAGGGTGTTAGAAAAGGTCGACCCCAAAATTATACATCCCGACTTACCCTACGGTGGTTCGTAACCGGAGGTAAGTTAATAATACGGAACCAAACCTAAAAGCTAGTTCATACAGGCCGTGTGTAACCGGCCTCGAGCAGTTGTCTCCTAGGCTCTGCGGTAACGCAACACTAACCCTCTTTTTATTTCAGGTACCCCAAGTATAAATCAACTTCCACGGTGTGAGCAGCCGGGAAGTAACAAACACCCACACACTCAGAAAGCACACAAAACCCTCCTGATTGTCATCCTCATTTATCCACGTCATCCTCACCATCTTTCCCCCTACTACAGTCAGTACTATTCTTCAGACTGGTGAGTCATCTTCACTTCACTCTGTGACCACAAACAACGATGAGAGGTATAGAAACACTCCCGGCAGCCTCTTAAAACCACGTCACCAACTACATATGGGAGCTTCCAACGTCAAAACCCTCTGTCAAATGAGACAGCAGGCATCACTAGCCAGAACTCTGTCATTTCGAGCCATGGATGTATGTTGTATTTTGGGGACACGCATACAAGACCCAAGTGTGATCATTCACTTAATCTCACCCGGTCAACAAAGTGAATCTGAAAAATTCACCCTAAGGCTGTCAGGAGACACCTCAGCTAGTTCGCGAGGACTTGCAGGTGTAGGGATAGATTTGAGTGTTAAAGCAGAAAAGTCAATTCTCGACTGAATCCCAGTGGATGTCGTATGTGTGCAGTCCGTCTGAACGGGTCCGTTAGAAGAAGGAAGGACCGAGTTACCTATAGTTGTCATTTTATAGTCTCCGCCTACGCCCCAACCCACTGCATTTCAGATGAACTAAAGGATGGTTTCTACCAGAAACTGCCTAGTTTGCTACCAAAAGCAAAACGCTCAGATATAGTTGTTTTATCAGACCACTTAAATGCCTAAGTAGGGAAGTTATACCAGACTGAGAAGTATATAGGTGGTGCGTATGGAGTTCAACGCCGCCGAACCGACAATTGTGATCGTCTTCGACAGTTCTGAACAGGTAATCCATCTTTCCTTGGTCAGTACTAACTTTAAGCAAAAAGAGACATTGCCTAACCTGACGATCTCCATCACCAAATCAACGTTGAACTCAAATAAACCACATTGCGATAGGGTATCGTTGGCAACGGTCAGTAGAAGACTGCCGCTTTATCTGGAACACGTGTGTAAACTCCTATCACGGTCTGATCCGCGCAAGTTTATGCTTACAACCAAACAGACTTAATAAATTGTTAGCAGCGAAACAGTTACGTCCCCAACTAGATCAAGACACTGAATCCGTATGTAAGGAAGAAATAGCGAAACGAGTATCTGAAGTCGACAGCAGGACTTCACATGACGCAATATACAGTTAGCTGTAGACACAGCTCTAAAGGCTGTTAATAACCTAAAACCAAAAGTTAGTAAGAGCCATTGGATTACTACCACCTCATCCAAATGATTAACGCAAGAATACTGATTCCGGCAAGCTCCGAATATGATGAGGCGTGAAAGCTACTCAGACGCAAACTAACAAGAATCCTTCGTAGCAACCGTGAACAGTGGTGGGCGACAAAAGCGATGGAAAAGGCAGCGGCTATAGGTAACTCCAGACAACTATTTAGACTTATCAGGGAAACAAGTGTCAAAAGGTAAATGATAAGTGAAACAATCTCTGAGAAAGTGGCACCATAAATAGCACTCAGAATAGACAGCTGGAACACTGGATAGAACACTGAAGAGCATACAGCCACGCTCAACTTATCGAACATCCAACAACTCCCTGGATGGGATATAGACACAGTCCTCCGTCCCTAACTGAGGTTACCAGGGCTGTCACTAGTCTGAAAACGAGGCAGAGCAACAGGACCTGATGGAAGACTCCAGAGGTGTTTAATTACGGTGGAGACAGTTTACTGTCTGGGTTAACTAAGGCACTAGGCAGCGTCTGGGAATCAGAGGAAGTCCCGTCTGGTTGGTGTAAGTCATTGATTACCCCCCGCCATATACAAGAGAGACATGTGTTTCTGTGATAATCACAAGGGGATTAGCTCGACCATTATGATATCTTAAGTTCTAGGCTAGATTATCAAGCGTAGACTAAATGGGAGGAAAAACACGAGAGAACCAGGCAGGCTCTAGACCAGGAAGATGATGTATTGATCATATCTTCACCCTCTAACAGATTCTGGACATAAGCATACTTACCCGCTCCAACAATCGTCATATTTCTTGACCGGAAGGCAGCATTCCAGTCGGTCGACCGAGAGGTACTATGGCGATGTTTGGCTGTGAGAGGAATGCCGAGGAAATACATTACACTGATCAAGGCACTCTACTCGAACTCATCTAGCCAGCCAGGTGAGACTCCACCGGGAGTTGTCACCTGAAGCGGTGACAACTAGGTGTCCGTCAGGGATGTCCACTATCCCCATTTCTTTTCAATTTCACCACAGATGTACTAATGGAATTAGCCTTAACTGTTAACTTCAGCGACTCAGAGATTGACTTGTTTCCAGGGAATAATCTCGTTGACTTAGAATATGCAGATGATATAGTGGTTCTAGATGAGGACGCTGACAAAAAAGAGCAGTCTCCTCAACACCTTGAACTGCAGTCTACGAATGTTTGGCATGTGATTCGCTCGCCAAATGCAAGATGATGTTACAGGACTGGACTACACCGACTCCTAGATTAGAAATAGGAAGTGAAGTGGTGGAGCACATTGACCGCTTCACTTACTTGGGAAGTACCATCAGCCAACGCCAATGGGTTGATCTCTGACGAAATATCAGCAGGGATGCAGAGGGTTAGTTTTACATATGTCAGTTTACGCCATCTCTGGCGTAGACGTGATATCCGGCTACCAACCAAAGGGCGTGTGTACTGCTCAGCAGTGCGCTCTGTCCTCCTTTAAGGCTGTGAGACCTGGCCATTGAGAGTGGAAGACATGAAAAGACTAGCTGTCTTTGATCATAGGTGCCTGCGTTCTATCTCCCGTGTAAAGTGGTATAATAGGGTGAGCAATATTGAGCTTAGGCGTCGAGCACTAGGTAAGGAGGCGAAATCAATCGATTCGGTTGTAAAGTTGCATCGATTGAGATGGTTAGGACATGTGTTACATATGCTTAGTCATCGCCTTCCTCGAGGGGCAATGTTAGCTGACACAGGATGGATCATTTTGGAAGAGCTAGTGGTGGGCTAACGAAAACATGACATCAGCCAATGAAATCCACAATAGTTAGTTTAAGCCAGCCACGTATGGAGATGTAGATTTCCTGGTTGGGATCTTCAGGATGGTAAAAGACAATGGCTGAAGACAATTTGTGATATGGCTCAAAATCGTTCTCAATGGTGCAGATACATCCACTCCTTGTGACCAATAATTCCCAATGAAACTAGTGTTCTTCGTTATTACTATTCTTTTTGTCTCATATCCCTGTTTACTGTCTCTATGATGCATTTCTTTCTTCTCTTGCTCTGTGTGCTACATGGAGTTTTGCGACTTGAACTGCTGCACATCAATGCAAAGTTCTAAGTTGAAAACAGACAGACAGATTTCGAACAGCCAGCTGAAGACGTTTATCTCAAGCGGCGTTAGCCCCATGCTGAAGATCAGATGGCCATTGAGAAAGAATTTGCAAGAATGAACTCTGACAACAAACTAACCAAGAACCTATTGCTCAAAAAATACGCAGGAGAAAATGAATGTGGATTGGGCGCACACTGAAGAGATAGTCGAATAACATCTTACAGCAGGCCGTCGAGTGGAACTTGAATGGGAAGCAACGAGTGGGTCATCCGACGGTGATATGGAGATGAGAGATTATGATCAGTCGTGGGCTAAGTTGCAGAAGACAGTAGAAATAGAACGAAATGGAGACGTATTGTTAAAGCCCTATGTTCAACTCGGAATCCAAAGGGTCAGTAAATAAATAGTAAATACTTATTTTAATAACAGTCGTAAAGTCTCCTGTGAAAGGGTGAACTTGCCTGTCACATTAAACTTACTAGGATTATGATGAATAGATACTGGTGGATTTTTTGACGAATTAGCTGACTGCAACGGATTTTGAAGATATGGTAAACCCGAATGCATATTTCCTGATGAAGGCGTAGTCACTGTATCACGGGTATGATGCATATCTGGATTAGAGGGAGAAGCACGACTACAAAATGCAAAATTTGAGATCAGATTTCCACTTGATATTGGTAGGTTCGAAGAAATTGATGCTGGAAGGGAACACAATCCCGATGCTGCAAGAGCAGCTACAACTTCAGCAAGACTGACAGAAGAATTAGGATAATTTATTCCCAAAGAATTTCCTGCTAAAGAAGAAGAGTTAGCCAGGGATGCGATAACATTGAAGTAAGCGGCTGCCGCGGCTGTTGGTGGAAAACCCTGGTGACAAGTAAACGAAATATCCCAAATTATAATTTACTGAAAGACAAAGTATCAAGGCATTTGAACTGTGCAGCGGAAGCTGCCACAATAAACACTACAATCATTTGAAAGGTTTACCAGCTATATCTTAATGACACTGCTTTTGAGTATCGACTTACTTTGAGAATAATAAGGCACCTCAAGGCTATATGCATATGTATGAATCAAGTTGAGTGACATTCAATGCTAATGACAATACCCAGTCTTGGAACTTTGGTAGACAAAATAATATCCAAACCGTTGGCAAGAAACCTAATGTTGGCGAGTTCGAAGACATATTGCGGAGACTACTTGGAATAGTGAACGTACCAATTAAAGAGCAGCTTTACTGCTTACATGTCTTAGGAGGAAAACTATATGTACGCGTAGGTTACAAAATTATGATGAGATATTGCTATAAATTTTTACAAATAATGAGAAGGAAATTGATGGAGAAAGAATAGTAACACGGAGAAATATTGGGGTTTAAAGGATATGATAAATCAAGATTGAATGTATCTGCACCGGTAAGAACGTGTTGGAACCACACATCACTACTTGGTCTTGATGTTACAGCTTGAAATACGTGAGGATGACTTTTCTTATTACAAAACACTTAAATGACTCGCTGCAGGGCGTAACAACATATTCACGTTGTTGTGCCAAGGATTTATTTGAGAGCATATGAAGGATAAGATGAAACTATCAGATGTGTGCTTCAGTATGAACTTGATTTTAATCTTCGTGTTGTGGGAACACCATTAGCAGGCTCAGAATCATTCACATTAACACAAATGCGTTTACTTCTAAGCGTGCACTACCTTACAGTTAGTGATTCCCTTACTATTATACATTATTTTTTAACATTCTTTTTGTGTTTAGCAACAGTGTAAACTCAGCTAACTATCGACAGATACATCCTTAGTAAGGATGGTTCAATTTTCAAACTAAAGATATGGTGTGCTGTGAGGTAAACGGGCTTAAGTCCAACATTTTAAGGACAAAAACTTTAACACAAATGATTCTAGTCTAGCATGTTCATGTGTTTTACGAGATACGAAGACAAATCACCTGTTAAACGGAAAACTAAGAACTTACTGGATCAGAAGGCACTGATCTTTGTTGTGCTGCAGCGGCAGCCATTGTACCGGTTTGGTTGTTTGTTATTGATGTCAAGGGTTGCTGCATGTTGATGCCTGCAGAAGAAGACACCGTAGTGTGTACTGTCTTGGAACCATTCAAACCAAACAGAGATCCATGATGTGTCCTGTGGGGTGAGTGAGAGCCATTTAGTGTTCCAGAATTTATAGTAGTCAATGTCACAGAACTGTTGGTGCTCAAAGTGGACTTTTGTGTAGAAACATGCTGCCCATTTGGAGACGGTAAAGGTGCACATGTAGGTAAGGTTGTCTGAGAAATATGAATGCGACTGGATGTCCCAGAACTATTTGAATCTACACCAAACTGTGTGGAAGGCATACTCGCTAAATATGCCATTGTTTCACTGCAAGGCTACATGAATCTAAAACAAGCGAACTCACCTTTTTTGTTTTTCTTTAAGACTAGTTTCTTCACTGGCTAACTGTTTCAAACGTTGAAAGAGCTCATTTCGTCTGGTGGTGAGCTCTTCTATGCGTTTACGAGTTACCAGAATCTAGAATTTCACTTATGGCATTTAATGGCAAAATACCTCCTTTTTAGTATTTTCTAGGTTTTCTGTATCCATTTCGGCTTGACGTTTCGACTCTTCTCTTTCACGTCTTAGACGCTTTACAATAGCATCTTGAGCTTTCTCTGAATTCAATACAGGCTAGACAACCAGCAAACAAAAGTACCTTCTTGCTCACGTCTTCGTCTACTCATAATGTACCTTTTAAGCTTTTGATACATAGCTTGGTTTAGCTTGTGTCTCTCGATACTCACAGTGTCCGGCATTTTGCGACAAACAGCCTTGAGATTCCAACGCCGCGGGTTTGGTGAGTGAGATACACATAGCTGACTTCACCTCAGTTGTAGGGGTCAATACGTAGTTTGCCTATGTTACTTTGAGTATATGTACGATCGAAAGAGAGTACTTCCTTTTCCCTATTCGTGTCCTCAATTCATTTCTCAAGATGTACCGGAATCACTGTCTGAATTTACCCCGCACACCCAAGGTCATTGGATAGATCAGGCACCAGAAGGTCAGTTTCGTCAGTGTTAGTCGGCTATGTTGGAAAACCTTTCAGGTTTCTTGAGAGGGTAAATGTAACGTAACTGTGCCTATTATTAAATGCCAAACGCCTGATATATTGTGATAGGACGTGAATAAAACAAGGATTATTCACATTTGAATTGGTAATTTGTTGTGCTTGTTTGCATTTTTGGGGCGAAAAGAAGTCAAAAGGCGATCAAAAGCCTCCTAAGGGGTAATTTTTACCTATGGCTGCTGATGGTTTAGAATAATCTGTAATAAAGACAACGTTTACATCTGCTCTATTTATTTTGTATATCAGTGAGTTATTTCTGCTCACCGCTTCCCCTATAGTTCTATATAATAATAATAATAATTTATTTTCATATAAACATAAATTTACATGAAAATGCATGCCATTTTTACAGGCACGATCAAGGATGATATAATGTCAAATCTTAAATTGTCTACAAGTTAATAATGTTTCAACAGCTAAATATTTGATATATATATATACACTCATTGTCTGAACTAGGCTGTATAGTTATTGAATTGTACAATTGTCCTCCAGGTTGAGCGGGAAAATCGACTTCGTTTCGTTTTCATCCCGTGGTTGTAGGCATACGATAACCAACCAATATTGAGGTAAGTACAACGTTTACAAGGGATTGGAAGCTGTTTTAGAAAAGTTAAAGTGCTAAGGTGAAACATTAAAGTGTAATAGATTAAGTGAGTGAAATATATCATTAATAAACACATTTATATAGAAAACAGAATGGGGAAGTAATTAATCCTTAGGCCGACAACGTTCATTTGCAATGTATAATGAAACCAATATATTTTATACTATCATGCGTTCACTTTTGGCTTTAATACAATTATTTTCAAGCCAGTTGTCTTTATTTCATGTCTTTTTTTCTATTTGGTGCACAACCGTACCCTCCAGAGAATAGGAATAGAATAAGTCGAATCAAATTCATAAAGAGCTATAAAATGTTAGGTTTAATGGAATATAATGAGAATCAAGTAAAGACGTTATTAGAAAATAAGTGAGACAAGATATTGTGAAGTGGTATTTAAAGATCTGACAATGGATAGCAAGTTAATTCATAAGATGCCCCATAAATCTGTGCAGATCCCACGTGGTCGCATCTCAACAATAGGCTGAGCGAATGGTATATATTTAAAGGTAGAAGCATTATCTGTCAAGGCGTTCACTATTATCTTTTTCAAGATAAAGATCTAAGCCCTCATAAAAATCAGAAATATCTCGAGCCTTTAATTTGTATATTGCTGTTCCTGCAGAATGGGGCGATTCACCTTAGTGACCACCACCATATCTACTGATCAGCTAACGCCACCCTCCCTCCTTTTTTGATGTTAGGCTCTGAGACTATGATTATTATGGCTACCGCAAATATATTGCTTGGTACCAGACATGTTCGTACCCCATATTCCATCTCCCTAGCTTTCTTAATGAGTGCTTCCAATAGGTCTCCACGTACATCTTTACGAACATATTATATATGTGTGCATGCATCCTGATGAACAGATTACTTTATAAGAAGTTAAAACCTTAAAGAGTAAAACGAATAGGTATTGTGAATAGTGGAGCAAGATTTAGCAGAATACTATAGTTAAGGTTCAATTTAGGTAGTATGGACTGAAGGTAAGGTCGGTTGGCAGGACTTAGTGTACTAAATTTTCATGACAGTCTTATATATAGTAAACATCTGACATTGCAAAGTAACGTGTCTAGACATATTATAAAAAGATATTAACACAGAACCAACGAAATTTTGGCGTTTTTTAACAATACTGCAGTGTGTGTATACTGAAGAATGGTGGTTAGTCTACAGGGAGCCGTAGAGTAAATCAAACCATATATGATAAGAGTATAATCAATAATATAGTTCGTATATCAAATATTACACTAGGTTCAATAATTGAGTGTTATAAGGGAAACAAGCGTGGTAAAGCAAGAGAACATTTGATGCATAAATATTTTAAGTATTTTAATATCCATCTAATTTAAGAGTTGAACATGCATGATTAATAAGTATTATTATATTAGTATATACATATGTAAAACGTTAAAAGGTGTGGATGCTATTACAATTATTTCCAGTGTTACTTTCACCAACACAACTTAGTGAAAATTATAGAGAATAGAAATCAGTAAATTAGTTAACGTTCGCTGCGTGAGTATTAGAGTCGAGATATACGTATGTGACTATACTGAAGACTGGACTGGCCTTCAATTTCCGTTCTACCAACAGTTGTGGTCTTTTAGACGAGCTAGGGTGGACATGTTAAAGTGTCTTTCTAGGCTCCGTTTGAACCCATCAGGGTTTTCACAACATCTTATTTCAGGTGGTAGTTGGTTCCAAAGAGTGCAATATTTTATGGTGAAAAAGTTTGCCCTAATGGATTTTCTGTGGGTAGCCACCTTGACAAGGTAGTCGTGGTTTCGCAGCTGATATGATTTAATATTTTCCCAAGTTATGGATGAGTTACTGTAGCAGTGTTTCCTAATGACTTTGAAGAGTAGAAATAGGTTGCACTTCACTCTCCTTAACCACAGAGGCTCTAATTTCAGACGTACACACCTGTCAACATATTCCACTTGTTGGTCGAACCCTATTATGCGTTTCGTGAGGAATCTCTGGACACTTTCGATTTTTTTTCTGTCTACAGTCCTGAGGTTACTAAATAGGAGAGCACAATATTCAAGTTTGGGACGGATACATGTCCTATATATAGCTAATCTTGCTTCTTGGGTGTAGAAGTTACGCAGTACAAAGCCAGTAAGTCGTTTACAGTCAGATACAACCTTATTTGCGTGATCGGAAAAGGATAAATCTGAGTATGTTATCCCGAGGTCTGTGACTGTGTTCAGTTTTGACAGGAGCTTCCCGTACATGTATAGGCACATTATCGGTTTCCAGCGTCCAAGGTGGGTTATACCGCACTTGTCTGGGTTGAAAGTCAGTTGCCACTTTTCGCTCCAATCGCCTAGATCATTTAAGTCTTGTTGGATCTTGCTTTCGACGCTCATATCACCGTACCCATAATCATATACTATCTTGAGATCATCTGCAAAAAGGTATGGCTTGCCATACTTGATTACAGAGACTATGTCATTTATAAATAAGAGGAATAGAATAGGGCCAAGAACACTACCTTGTATTACACCACTGGTTATCGGCTTTGAGGAAGACAACTGGTGGTTGATTTTGACTAATTGCTCTCTTTCTGTGAGAAAAGAACTTATCCATTTGTGAAGATTTCCGGTTATTCCGTAGGATTGGAGTTTTGTTAGGAGTCTGATATGTGGGACTTTATCGAAGGCCTTGCTAACGTCAAGAAACAATGTTGTTACCGAACGCCCATTATCAATGCTTTGTGTGATGTAGTCAAAATAATCTAAGTGGCAAGTAATGCACGACCTTCTACTTAAGAAACCGTATTGGGATGGGGATAGTAGGTCATTTGACAGCAAGTACTGAATGATTTGAGTCTTAACTATCTTTTCCATTACACGTGAAACTACAGACGTGATGTTGATGGGGCGGTAGTTGTTGATATCAGCTATAGGCCCGTATTTATGGATAGGTACAATATAAGACTTCTTCCAGCAGTTAGGGTATGTCCCATCGCTTAATGAAATTGAGTATAACTTGAGTAAGAGTAAACTCATGTCATTACCACCTTTTTTCAGCAGAACGGAAGATATACCGTCTGGGCCAGTAGTGTTACTAAGCTTAAGATTTGCGACAGCTTTATCGATCTCATGTGTGGTGAAAATTATGTCACTTAAACATTCGTCTGTTTTACGTGGGAAATCCACGACTTCATCGTTCTCTAAGGTGTATAATCTGGCGAAGTGCTTGCTAAACAGTTCACATATCGCCTCATTATTTTCGTAAGCAATGCCGTCTAAGTATATTATTTTCGGATAGGGTGTTTTGGAGTTCATCAACCTACTTTTAAAAAGTTTGGCTATTTCTCCTGAGTTATGCGGTGCATGAATGGCCTGCATTTCTTTGTTTCTGAGGCCTATATTTCTCAACTCTTCAATTCTACTGAGAAGGGACGTTATGGCAATTAATGACGATAAGTCATGATATCTGTAGTATTTTATTGAGTGCTTACGTAGACTTCTTCTAAACGATGTCGGAATATAATCACTTTGGGGGAATCTGAAGTTAAGAATCTTCTCGGGTGCAATGACGTCGTGAATTGAGTTAATATTCTGATAGAAGTTGTTAAGAATTGCATCTAAGGACTGGTTCGAAAAGTACGAGTCCCAATTAGAACATCTAATTAGGTGCTGATACAAGTCCCAGTCAGCATGTGTGTACAATCTCATAGGTATCTGGCCAGCTTCATCTCTGCGTTTTGTTTCAGGAAAGATGTCAAAAGAACAAACTACTATTCTATGGTCACTACCTGGAAATTCATGTCCAACATGTACGGTAGATGGCGTTATGTTGTTCGTGAAAATAAGGTCTAGGATATTTGCGGATCTAGTGGGTGAATTTATGTGTTGTGTCCACCCTCCTGTGACGATGGAATTTATGAGATTATCGTACCTTTGGGGTCCTCGGAGTGAAGACCATGATACTTCTGGCAAGTTGAAATCGCCTCCGATAATTTTATAACTGAAAGGAAGATTGGCTGTAACATTAAAGATATTGCTAAGCATATTATCATATTCCCTGCTGGATGAAGGGGGCCGGTACACACAACCCACAAGTAT